CAATGGTTTGCTACCGCCCGCCTCAAATCAGGCAGCATCTGGTCAAATTGGTGCAAACCTGCCAACTCCCACCTGCGGCTGGCCGTGATCGCAGGTGAGTAACGTAATACGGTCGTAAAACATTGCACTGTTCTGAATCTGCAAAGGCTGTATGTGACAGACCTCAAGCAGATCCCATTTGGTCTCTGCAATCAAACTCCTGAACTGGACTTGCTCCCCACTGTCTTGGGGATCTGGCTATTGACCCAAAGGCCCCCGGTGGAGTTTTTCAAGCGAACCTCCATATCTCCCACTGTTTTGTGGGTCAGACTATTCAGCCAAAGGCTCCGGATGAGGTCCCCCAAGCGAACTACCGCCTTGTGGATCGGATTGTTGAGCCAAAGGCTAGAGGCAGGGCACCTCGAACAAACCCCCTCTCTCGAAATGGGCAGCCGGAGAATATCATCCGTCCTCTCGACCATACTCCCCCTTCTTGTTTTTCCCTCCCCTCCCCCCTCTCCACCGTCTATTGAGCAAGAGACTGCCACTGACCCCGCTGCTGCTGCCATCGATACATGCAGCTCTCCCATCAAACCTAGCGTTTCATTTCACATTGGTTCCTTTAACGCCCGCACTCTAGGTCAGATCGGCCAGCAGGCAGCATTGACTCTCACTCTTCACTATCTTGGCGTTGTCATGTGATGTGTCTCCGAAACACACATACAAGATAACAGCGTTGTGATGAATCTAAGACTCCCTGGTTGCGAATCCGACGACCACAACTAGTCTTCGCGTCTCTGGCGATACCGAATCAATGGCTCAATGCAATAATAATAATAGTACTATTATTACTGTGTTGATATTGCCCTCAGCAAACATGCTGAAGGCAATCTGCTCTACTGGATACCGGTGAACGGCCGCATGTGCTCGGTTCAGCTTCGAACTACTATTGGAGTTACTAAGCAGTGTCTGAAGCCAAGGTGCCTCAGTTTATGCTCCTACTGAATACAGCTCAGAGGGTATCAAAGCTGATTTCTATTGATAGCTCTCATCGTTTCTTCGCATGGTGACCGATACCGACATCGTGATTGTTGCTGGTGACATGAATGCTCACGTGGGTCGTCCTTCAGAATTTGAACAGCACCTGGGTGGGCGCTTCGGAGTCCATGCACGCCGAACGGACAATTGGAATCGATTCCTGTAACTATGCTCCTACCACAACCTTTATCTCAGCACTGCTTTCCAGCACAAACGTTCATACTGTGTCACCTGCCCCCACCCCCACCGAATCCATGACCTGGACCCCAATTGACCATGTTGCCGTCAGCTGCAGATGGCGTACATCAGTCCAAGACTGTCGGTCCAATTGGAGCACGTGCCTGGATTCCGACCATGCTCTAGTGCGCGCACGCTTGGCGCTCACTCTTCCCGCTTCAAAGAAGCGTCTATCTTCTAACCTTACCTGTAACTTGAACTCGCAGTCTGCAGTTCAACAATATCACGACGAACTGGCCCACCAATTATCATTGATGAATGAGGTTGGTGAACCGAATACTGACTGGGGTCGTCTCAAGTGAGCCATGAAGAAGGCCTTTGACACATGCTGTGCACCCAGCTTAAGACGTAATTGTGGATGGATCTCTAAGGCATCGATCAGCTTGCTCAGAAGACGGAAACTGGTTGCGATGGGCACTGAGTTTCAGAGTGTTCGTTAGCGTGTTCTGAAACGACGCATCACAAGAAGTCTTGGAATCGACCGGGAACGTTTATGAATCGTAAGGGAGATGGAGAAAGCCAGTGCTACTGGGAACAGCCTAGTTCTGTTCCAGCTCATCCGGAACACGGATCCGAGAAATCCATCCGTTAGCGAGACAGCTGAGAAAGGTCAGCTGCTCCATTCTCCATGTCGTCAACTAGCCTGTTGGGCGGAACATTTTGAAGAGCAGCTCAGCAGGCCTGCTGCGACATTGCCGCTTGCCGAATTTCCTGGGCCATCACAGGAAGCATATGTGACACTTACCACTTTGGAAAAGATCCGACATGAGCTTCCCTTGTTGAAACAAGGCTCCTGGACCCGACAACCTTTCTCTATCTTTGCTTAAAGATAGTGGTGACCCTTTTTTGACCGGACTCGATGATCTATTTAACGCGATCTGGAACAGGGAAGAGATTCCTTCAGACTGGCGACTGTCATGCCCATGTTCAAGAAGGGTCGGCGAAAGCATCGAGGCATTAGCCTTATTTCCATTGCTTCAAAACTTCTCACGGGTATCATTCTTCGACGACCTACTGATCCACGCGAGAACCGAATCACTGAAAGCCCTAGTCGTGGTTGTATAGACACCATATTTACTCTTCGCCAAGTGTTAAAACAGAGACGCACATATAAAGGACCGACAATGGTGGTTTTCCTTGACTTGAAAGCTACCTTCAACTCTGTTGACTGCG